TCAGAAAATCCTGAAGGAGAATGTCCGGCCATCAGTTTGTGACCTCAAGCTCAAGCGCACTTGGGTTATGCAGCAGGACAATGATCCCAAACACACCAGCAAGTCCACCTCTGAATGGCTCAAGAAAAACTAAATTAAGGTTTTGGAGTGGCCAAATCAAAGTCCGGACTTAAATCTGATTAAGATGCTTAAACAGTCCATTCATGCTCGAAAACCCTCCAATGTGGCTGAATTAAAACAATTCTGCAAAGAAGAGTGGGCCAAAATTCCTCCACATTGATGTGAAAGACTCATTGCCAGTTATCGCAAACACTTGATTGCAGTTGGTGCTGCAAAGCGTGGCACAGCCAGTTATTAGATTTAGGGGGCAATTACTTTTTCACGTAGGGCCAGGCAGGTTTGGACAGCTTTTTTTCCCTTAATAAATGAAATCATCATTTCAAAACTGTATTTTGTATTTACTTGTATTATCTTTGTGTAATATTAAAATTTGTTTGATGATCTGAATCTTTTAAGTGTGACAAATATGCAAAAAATTTAAAAAACAGGAGGGGGGGCCAACACTTTTTCACACCACTGTATATGTATATATATGCTGCATTGAGTCATTTGATTTATTAAACAATTAGTACTACTTAAATTACATTGAAAACCAAGGAAGACATCAGATATGCTCTGTCATTCAATTTGGCTTCTGGTCAAAGTGTCAGACAGAAGATGATGAAAAACACTGGACTGTAAACTTCTGTGTGTGTGAATGCCTGTGTGTGTGTGTGTGTGTGTGTATGATGATAATGCAGCATGACACATCTGAAATGAGACTGTGGTTGCTATGGCACGGAGCCAGGAGGGGACAGACTGTGCTGTAAATGATTTGCAGTTACATCACGTACTTGCTCACGGCCAGTTTCTATATGATATTCCCAGCACAGGATCCTTGCAAACCACATTTCCCTACCTGTGAACATATTAAATGGCCCCTTTCTCAAAAATCTTTGCATGTAAGAGGTAAGACAAGTTTTTGTGATCAATAGTAAATACATTATCTAATTCATGTTTTGGACACTTTACATAACCTAATACTAGAAATGATGAATGAATGTAATGTGTTTTGTAAGTATGTGTCTGTTGCCATAAACCTGTCAAATCAATGAGGGAATATATAGGCAGACTATTTCTAGTCTTGCTGTGATTGTTTGACAAATCAATGACAGACATCATTATCTGTCATAACAGAGACTCATGGCACACAGTTGTGCCTTCCAAATGGTGCAGAAAACATACTGTTAAAGGGTTCGTTCACCCAAAAATGAAAATTAGCCCATAAATTACTCACCCTCAAGTTATCCTAGGTGTATATGACTTTCTTCTTTCAGACGAATCCAGTCGGAGTTATATAAAAAATTGTCTTTGATCTTTCAAGCTGTTTAATGCCACTCAGCTGGTGTTGCATGCATCAGTCCAAAAGAAGTGAAATAAAAAGCGCCCATCCAGTAAAAAAAGTGTCTCACACGGCTCCGGGGGGTGAACAAAGGCCTCCTGTAGTGAATCGATGCGTTTTTGTAAGAAAAATATCCATATTCAAAATGTAACAATCACTTTAATCTACCTTGCGCCAACACAGTTGTACACAGAAGCAGCTCCGGGAGGATGACGTATGAGTTCAGTGTTGCGCGTGCGCCGGTGAGTCTCGTGAAAACCAACGTTTGTTACCAGGATCAAAGGAAGCAAAGTTTCCTTACTTTAGCAAAGGAAAACCAGTCTCCTCTTGGCTTATATTGAAATCCTCTGACATTCTTCTTTACAAATCCTTGTTTTGTACTTCTAATTCTTGACCGTTGTTTTGCTTTGATCTCTCCCCTTTGCTTCCGCATGCGTCACTTCTGAGCGGCGCATGCGCAGCGCTGACCTCATACGTCATCCGCCCGGAACTGCTTCCGTGTACAACAGTGAGCGCAAGCTAGATTAAATTATTACGTTTTAAATATGGTTATTTTTCTTACAAAAACGCATCGATTCGCTACAGGAGGCTTTTGTTCACCCCCCTTCATTTTTGGGTGAACTAACCCTTTAAGGCAGTTTCTCATGCTATAAGCCATAAAGACATATGCAATAGAATTTACAATAACATTCAGATGTCTAAATGCCCATATCACTGCTTGACACAACACAAGTGATTCAAACAAATGATTCAAGTTTTCCAGAACTAACTTTACTTTTCTGAACCATTTTATTACTTTTAACCGGTGTCAGTGATATTATAGGATATAATTCTATAATATAAATGTATTCTGTAATTCTGTATATTCTGTATGAAAGCAGTTCACCTCAAGTTCACAGAGGTGTCCAGCAGAGTAACCGCAGATGTAGCTCATCACATTAACTTTGAACATGATCCACTAATGTTTGACAAAGAAAGACTACATCTGTGTCCTTGGTTGGTATTACATTTGATGAAGAACTTACTTTGCAACCATTAAATGTACATTCTAGAGTATATGGAGCTCCGCACATGACATGAGGGAATTAATTAGTACAACATGGGCACGATTTACTTAAAGTCATGTAAAGTCACGTTTTTTTATATAGTGCTTTACACTATTTTAAAAACTGTTTCAAAACAGCTTTAAGGTAATCAAAAGGAAAATAACAGTGCTAATGTTGCAGAGTTCATCAGTTATAAAACAAATTCAATTTCAGCTGAAAAGCAGCTCTACAGAGGACAATAGTGTCTTCATTCAGTTCAAGTCAGCTCAGTGTTGATTCAGTTCAGTTCAAAAACAATGATCATCAATTAATAAATGAGGTCAAATCAGTTAAAACGAGGGAACAAACTAGTACAGCATGGCCATGATTTAACTAAAGCAAATTAAACAACAAATTAATACAATGTGAGAATTAATTCTTAATTTGTGGCCTCAATATCTATTTTCCCCCACATATCATGTGTGAATGCAGTCCGGATGTACAACATCCACAATGTCATGTGACCTACAGCATCACTTGTGTCGATTCACAATTCCTCTCCTGTAGCCTCATGGGATAGTAAGCTGTCCATCAGATGCACAATTTGGAATCTTAAAGGAAGAAGGTCATCTGCCTGCTGTTTTTTTGAATACCGTGGCTTTGAAATCACATACTTTCTGAATGGGTACTTCTTTTGGAAAAGTTATTACTCTGCGACTGCTAAAAACGTATGTTCTACATATTATGAATTTATGTAGTGTGGATGTAATCCAGATGTATTACGTTCGCCATGTTGTCATTGTCATGTGACCCATTCACAAATGTTCTCCTGTGGCCTCATCATGGAATAGTAAAGTATCCATTGTATGCACACTTAAGAATCTCGCGAGAAGTCATCCAGGTACTTTTGGACATACTATTTTTTCTCATACTGTTTTTCGTCTACTATGTAGCAGGGAAGTATGTGATTTTGGATGCAGCCTGTTTATTCAGACATACTACTCATTTGGTATACTATAAATTGAAATAATAGTAAAAGGCTGTCATACTTCAGCTTCCACTGATACAATAATAGTATGCTGCATTTCTTCACCTGTCACAATGATTTTTCCATTTATCACTGTGTCTGAAGTTATTTTAGTGCTAGCGGTTCTCAGTTAGTAATGCATGTACATACATCATGCATTGCTTGAGATAAAAAGGTCACTGATGATCACAGACCTTTCATTGCTGGTGGGAAGAGGAAAACACAAGAAAAAACACAGTGGTCTTGTTCCCTGACACTTGCTGGCAAGTAAGGATGTGCATCTATCGTTATCTGCATCCACCCTATCGCTTCATCCACCCACATCTGTCTCTGTGGCCTGTCCTTTTGATCTGTCTTCTAACGGCATAAATCACGCTTCCACTATGATAGATCCTTTCTAGACTGTGCAGGAGACAGGTGTCGCCAGTTATTGATCCCACTCAAGCCCTTTACCAGCACAGTTACCAAATCATTACAGAAACACCTGATCTCAGATTCATAGCATGTGTAATGAAATATGTTTTAACCTTCCTAAATGTTGATGCATGGCAAGGGAAATAATGGACAATATAACGGCACGTGGCTTGGAGATGATATAGATCATTTGGGTGAATATTGGCTTGTTTGGGCTTCATAAATGAGGACAAAGTATGATGGTCATTTTCTCTGTAGTTTTGCTATTAATATTTTTAAATTAATATTTAGGATTTATTGGTAGAGTTTGGTTAATGTTGGAATAAACTACAAATCTGAACAGATTTTAAACACTGGGCATCATCACTTGCTGACTTTATAAATGGCTACAGAGAAAAACAGAGCATCATTCAATAAATGACTATTTAGGGGGATCACACACTACCAGTCATTCCAAACATAACAAGCTCATGTTGAAACATGCACTAAAGTTGATAGGAGAACCATGAAAAATAAAAACAGTATGTGTTCTAAAATCAGCTCAAAATAGTAGATTTTGTTTTCATTTCTGACACAATCTGGTATCGGTATGAGATATACACAAAAACTGATTTTTTTTCACAGCACTGTATAGGCCTATATTATACATCAGCTCAGCAAACAAGTTAATATTAAGTGACAAATTATTTAATAAATTAGTTCCGATCAAAGTAGAACAGGTGCATTTTTGGGCAACACACAAGCCTACTGGTGTCATCTGCCTGCTGTTTTTTTGAATACCGTGGCTTTGAAATCACATACTTTCTGAATGGGTACTTCTTTTGGAAAAGTTATTACTCTGCGACTGCTAAAAACGTATGTTCTACATATTATGAATTTATGTAGTGTGGATGTAATCCAGATGTATTACGTTCGCCATGTTGTCATTGTCATGTGACCCATTCACAAATGTTCTCCTGTGGCCTCATCATGGAATAGTAAAGTATCCATTGTATGCACACTTAAGAATCTCGCGAGAAGTCATCCAGGTACTTTTGGACATACTATTTTTTCTCATACTGTTTTTCGTCTACTATGTAGCAGGGAAGTATGTGATTTTGGATGCAGCCTGTTTATTCAGACATACTACTCATTTGGTATACTATAAATTGAAATAATAGTAAAAGGCTGTCATACTTCAGCTTCCACTGATACAATAATAGTATGCTGCATTTCTTCACCTGTCACAATGATTTTTCCATTTATCACTGTGTCTGAAGTTATTTTAGTGCTAGCGGTTCTCAGTTAGTAATGCATGTACATACATCATGCATTGCTTGAGATAAAAAGGTCACTGATGATCACAGACCTTTCATTGCTGGTGGGAAGAGGAAAACACAAGAAAAAACACAGTGGTCTTGTTCCCTGACACTTGCTGGCAAGTAAGGATGTGCATCTATCGTTATCTGCATCCACCCTATCGCTTCATCCACCCACATCTGTCTCTCTGGCCTGCCCCTTTGATCTGGCTTCTAACGGCATAAATCACGCTTCCACTATGATAGATCCTTTCTAGACTGTGCAGGAGACAGGTGTCGCCAGTTATTGATCCCACTCAAGCCCTTTACCAGCACAGTTACCAAATCATTACAGAAACACCTGATCTCAGATTCATAGCATGTGTAATGAAATATGTTTTAACCTTCCTAAATGTTGATGCATGGCAAGGGAAATAATGGACAATATAACGGCACGTGGCTTGGAGATGATATAGATCATTTGGGTGAATATTGGCTTGTTTGGGCTTCATAAATGAGGACAAAGTATGATGGTCATTTTCTCTGTAGTTTTGCTATTAATATTTTTAAATTAATATTTAGGATTTATTGGTAGAGTTTGGTTAATGTTGGAATAAACTACAAATCTGAACAGATTTTAAACACTGGGCATCATCACTTGCTGACTTTATAAATGGCTACAGAGAAAAACAGAGCATCATTCAATAAATGACTATTTAGGGGGATCACACACTACCAGTCATTCCAAACATAACAAGCTCATGTTGAAACATGCACTAAAGTTGATAGGAGAACCATGAAAAATAAAAACAGTATGTGTTCTAAAATCAGCTCAAAATAGTAGATTTTGTTTTCATTTCTGACACAATCTGGTATGGGTATGAGATATACACAAAAACAGATTTTTTTTTCACAGCACTGTATAGGCCTATATTATACATCAGCTCAGCAAACAAGATAATATTAAGTGACAAATTATTTAATAAATTAGTTCCGATCAAAGTAGAACAGGTGCATTTTTGGGCAACACACAAGCCTACTGGTCTACTGTTATACAAGTGATCATGAGAGAGACGATGTGAAGACGTCTTCAGAAGACATTTATTCATCCACTGGGCTCATATGAATTACCGTCACGATTGCTGTGAACATCAAAAATAAGGACTCACAGAGATTGACTATTTTCCTAAAAATCTTTGTTTGTATTTATCTGAATAAAGTACTATATATTGAAGTTAGCATGAGGGTGATAAATGATGAGAGAATTTTAATTTTTAAGTCGAATATACCATTAAATTAAAGGGATTGTCAGCAAATTAAAAACAATAAATAATATATTCTTTACACATATGGAATAATATGGAATCTAATTTTATATACCCCTCCCTTCTCCCTTTTCAGGAAACTGAGGTTTTTATGATAATGTAAGCTAAAATATATTGAGTATGCATTATTTTTATTGTTTTAATGTGCTTAGGGGATATTATTCTTCTCAAATGTACAACTCTTGACATTTTTTTTTTATTCAAGAAGCATTGGTTAGCATTGTTAATAAACAACTATTACAAACTACCATCCTGATTTACATTTGTTTTCTGCACTTTGAAAAAATAAATGTTTTGAAATGTTATGAATGGAGAGCTGTGTTTTTTTCAGCTAGGTATAGTTGCTCTCAATGTTCCTCAGATCACAGATTAAATTAAGTTACCAAAACCTAAATGGCTTAAGTAAATGATACTCAATATAAGTAAGGAATACTTTTAATATATTAGTAAATAAGTTAAATTACACACTTAAATTACACTTAATACTATTAATTTAAGATTGCTTAATTGAAATAAGGCAACAAGTTTGCACAATTTAATTAAATAAACTGAACAAATTACTTTTTACTGTGAAGGTCTGTGAAACAAGCCCAATGGCCAATAGCCCAAGACATACAATATACAATATACAATAGCCCAAGATTTATACAATGTAAAATCTTTAATCTAGCTCCTTTAATCTGTGTGAGAAAAAAAAATCAACCAGCATACAGTTTAATATAAATTTAAATGCTGGATATAAATAAAAATATAAATGCTGGATATACATTTCTTTGTTTTTGGCTGTTCTTGTAATAACCTAAAACGATAACTAGAAATAATTAATTCTAAAGGCCATCATCTCTGTGAATTTATAATTGCATTGCATGAGTGCACAGATATTAGAATAAATAAATATGTAAGTAATTAACAGGTACTACAGTATGCAACTTTATTTTTTACAAACAATTGTGGGAGGGGTGCCCTTGTTTGGTTGAGCACCTGCACCCCCCCCCCCCCCCCCCCCCCCCCCCCACACACACACCCCCAAAAAATGTGCACAGCCATCTCTAGCAATTTGGTGGTTGACTAAGGACAAGTTAATAAGCTTCCATCCTGGCGTGAGTTAATGGTCAAACACCACTCACATTGTCTAGTTTTTTTTAATCTAATTTTTTAA